GAAGGGTAACTGTAATCGGCTATTCCGATTCTGCTTCTCTCAGAGATTTTATTTTTATACGAAAAATTGTATACCTTGTAATATACAACGGAAACGGTGAGGAAGCTATACTGACCTTACTTGGCAGACGTTTTTTTATTGCATTGTATATATAATATGAATGGGCCTCACTCAGCAGTAGTACTCAGTGCCTTTAAATGTGGCAAAATGTATTATTTCTGAATAAAAAGATTTTTAAAAAAGTATTTTTAAAGATTTTCGTTTCATTTTGACGTTTAGGCCCAAGGCCATTCTTCTGTCGAGTATTAGTCTGAGATAGTACAATGTGTGTTAGTCTGAGGAATTTGGTTTTCGCCGATATAAACTGGTGGGAATGTGTTTCATCGAAATGTAAATATTATGTGTTGTGATATGTCATAGTTTAATCTTATTTTCCAAAGTAAGTACCAGTTTTATAAATTTAATAAGTGAATTTGTAAATTCGGTGAAGTTTGTCTAGGATTATAGTGTTTTGTTAAAATTGCTGTATCGTCAGCGTATGTAGCAGTCAATGTTTAAGAGTTGAACTAATTAAAATGATACGCTGTTTATAGAGTAAAAGTTATCCAAGTGAAGAGAAAGAAATGTACAGATAAAACCTAACTAGCATGATCTGTTCGGAGTTTTCTTTTATAAGGATTAAAGGTTTTCATTTGGCTTCAGTTTGGGCTTTGTTGGAAGCACAACAGTTACTCAGGGGACCTATAACATTTTATGGCCTGGTGACGCAACGCATCTTCTCTCACACCATTGAACATCTACTGCCTTCTGAATTTATTTTGCGTGTGTAATATGCGCTATCTACTTCCATTATAGGATTCTTCACCGAAATTCTAGTGAATAAGTTACAGCTATAAAATATAATATTAAACATAAAACTCTATAATATACTTTTTTACATCTTACATTATGATATGTAAAATTTATAGTTTTTTCATCAAAGCTGCTAGCTTAACTAAAAGACATTGAATAGAGATTTATAATTAACTGAACGCTGATATTTTATCATTTTAAGACCCTCTAAAGCCACATCTCTTACATTAAATCATGACAAATAATTTATCAACCCTCTTAATCATTTAGGGAAGAGTTTGGAAGTAAGAAAAAACTTCTCTTCATATTCTTAGTAGTCATGTCATTTAGTTTAAATTTATATAAAATCGTTCATAAAGGGTCCTGATATGTTGGTCAACTTTTTGAAGTAGGAGGTCAGTATGTAGATCTCTTTGGCTATATCTCTAGGATGAGTATGATCACATAGGTTCAAGTAAGAATGTATACATATTCAGTTTCCGTCTATGTCTCAGTTTTGAAGATTTGAAAAAAAAATGGATAAAGTTGTTTGAGTGGTTTGTAAAGTAACTTCAGTTTCATTTTTACATGCAAGCCGCTTGGGATTCACGTCAAGTACAATATAAAGTAGCGTGTTCTTTTGAGAAATTTGGTTGTTGTAAATTTAAAATAGAAGGCATTTTAAATTTTTTTTTCGGTAAGCAGTAAATGTTATAATAATATTAATACTTGTGAAAATTACACTTTTCAGTCAAAAACTTTCAGAACAATAACAGGGTGGTCTAACAGGGAAAACCTACAAAAATGGGAAAAGTCAGTGATTTTTAAAACAGGGAGAAGTCTGGGAAAAATTGTTATAGTCAGGGATTTTTTTTAGTACGTCTATGTTTTTTTTTTTAATTGGATATAAATATACAGTATATATCGTTTATGGGGCAAACTTGATCTTGAAGGGGAACACTTCATTATATATAAACGTTATAAACGATCACGATCGCTATATCCATCCACCTTTGGCTGTCAATAACAGCACTGCTACATATACTACTAAATGTACTTAAAACAGTATTTTTTTAAAAAGAAATACATACCAAGACTATTCACTATATACACATCTGTATCAATACATGGCTGTCAAGGAATCGTTCATTCGACCCGTGGTGCTTCATAAAAGAGCATTTCTTAACCAGAAATTGCATAGTTGATGTAATATGGATAATTACTGTGCTGTTTATAGCAAGAAAAAAAATAAATTACTAATGAGAAACTATATTAATATTAGAATCCTCCGTAGCTCACTTTATTTTATAATGAAGAAAATCAATACTTTGTATGTCAAGTATCAAGTTTTACCTCCTCTCAGTTTATGAAAATAAAATAAAGCGATAAAAATAAATTACTAAATGTTTAGTTTTCTAAAACAAAAAATTTTAATCAAGCTTAAAAAATAATTCCTCTAATATATGCTGATTTTATAATTCATTATTAAAAGACTGATTTTGTTTTTACTCAAATCATTTTATATTCAATTTCCTTTCATATATAATAAATAACTTTAGTCATAAACTACACGTTTTTAATATTTCTATCTCTAGACATATTGGTCAGGGAAAATTATCATTAAATAGAGAAATGTCAGAGAATTCTATCTTAACTGTTTGGTAGCCACCCTGAATAACAAAATCTCTTTGGTACATCAGAAATATTACTTTACATAAAGACCTAAACATGTCGACAGTTAACGACCACATACGTAGATACTACAGACTATTTTAAGATAAGTGTCAGTGAAAATCCTACCATGCAATATATGTTGGTAATGAACATACCCCGATAACAGACATAGAAGGCTCAAAAGAAGCTGGATCAGGGATCTTCTCGCTAAAGAATCCATACTAAAATCAAGATAGGTTCGAATGACACTGGGTACTCCACTCCCTTATTATTTCCAACAGCAAATTTTGTCAAAATTTTCGACAGATATGGATGAAGTATAGTATGCTCACAATTTTACGGTCTTTGGATGAAGGTGTGTAGAAATAATCCAAATGAAACAATTAAGCCATTATTTAGTCCCAATTTTTAAGTATAAAGCATATTTATTTTAATTGCGCGTAAAAAAAACTATAAATTTAGAGTACCTTAACTCTATATTAACGTTGTTGTTTTAGTAAAAAAGAGCATATTGTTGTATTAATAATTAAAGAGAATATTTGATCAAACAAATTCAAAACTAAATTTGAGAAAATTTTTTTTTTTTTTTAAAGATATAAAAAATATATTTATAATTTTTAATAATAATAATAAAAAAATAGGTTGCAATGCTTCGATTATTTTCAAAATTGCTAGAAATGCGAATTCAATTCGGCTCACAGATGCGAAGTATTACGTGCTGAGGCCACTTTTGTATTCCACAGGACCAGGAAGATCCAGGAGAGAGGAGGAAGAGGGGGGTGAAATAACCCACCACCTGGCAAGGAATATGTAATACAGCCAGGGCATTCCTATGAGGTTCTAGCCCGGCATGCCATCAGGGAACGGTTCTCGGCCAGCCTCAACTTCACAATCGTGTATAAAAATGTGAATAAAAAAAAGGTAGGAATTATTAGAGAAATATTCGGTGGTACAGACCCCTTTTTTTCATATTATTAACATCCTCCTGAAACTTCGTCAATAAGTTTTATCACATCGACAAATCGACATTAACAAAAATTCAAAAACACGTCCATAGGCGCCGGCACTGGGTAATTTTGTAATAGACAATTATATTACTAGTCATATAGTATGTTGGTCAGTCAATAAATAACATACAATATGGAAATAAATTGAGCGCATCATAAGAAAGAGATTTTTTTTCCCTTGAACAATTACAGCGATTCGTTCCAAATAATTAACAAAACCATGTTGGCAAAATATAATTGGCTGTTTGTTTGCTAGAAATAGCCAGATATGTATGATTTTTTGTTGCAGGAAATTTGGAAACCTTTCAAATTCTGCTGTATACTTTCTGAATTATGTGCGAATAAAACCTCATTCTCATAACAACGTTTCTCTTATTTTTTAGTAGATTTTTTTATTTTTCTCACCTAAAGGAGAACACATTTTTATGTGCCCAATAATTGCATATGATAAAGATTTAACGTAAATATAGCGCACCGGTCAAAAAACACCTTTGAGAATTAATACATTACTAGTTAGCTCTTGCGAATACATCACAAAGAATATTGGTCAGTAGAAAAATAACAAAATAATGAGGAAATTAAATAATTCAATATACCATAAGAAGAAGTAAAAGAAAAATATTATACAACTTCATTGTTGTTTTTAATCAAAATTTTTATAAATTACAATAACCTGAATCTCAGCTGATAATAGTACGAACTCAATGATTGTTTTGTTTTGTAGGTAATTTAGTTATCTGTCAAATAATCATTGAAACAAGAAAAAAAAATTATACTTTTTGAGTTGGAAGTTTGTCTTGGAATTGTGGCATTTTCAATCTGCAGATCGGCATTTCACCTAATTAATTAGGTACAAAAAACTCGTAAATAACTATTTGCTTTCCACTTGGATCGCAATATAATTTGACCACAACATCGAGAAAAAATGTGACGTACAAAAATATTGTACTAAAATATTGGTCTATATAATCTCGTTATTTTGACATTTTCGAGGTGAAGGTCACACGTGGTGAATGTCACCGCCAAACGGATCAATATTTTTGTAGGCCATCTTTTTATTCGAATTTGTGATCATGTTATCTTACGATTCAAGTGAAAAGCAAATAATTATTTATGAATTTTTAGTACCTAATTAAATAGACGAAGTTTGTTGATTTCCAGATTGAAAACGCCCTAATTTCGAGAATTTTCGAATGTTGATAACTTGATAAAAAAAGGGGCCTGTTCCACTGACTAAAATGTGATGAAAATTATGAGAAATTGGCTTTTAAATATTTTTATTTTCTAAATTAAAGATTTAAATAAAAGTGAAATCGCAGTTAGTAATCATGTTTATTAGCAATTAACTCCTAACAAGACTTAAAAAAGCAAATTTGTTAACAAACAAATATATATATATATATATATATATATATATATATATATATATATATATGATAAATGTCTTTATTCTTCTTTAAAAATAAATGGAATACAGAAAACGAGGACTTGATAATCTGTTCTTCTTTGTGGTAGCCCTGGCCTGGGGATGAAAGGCAGGAGCCCGGAGAGACCAGATCGTACCGACAGAATCCTAAATGACTATCTCTTCCCCGACTATCTCTTTCATCTTCAGGGCGATTGTTGGCTGGGGGGGAGGGCATCATGGGGATATCATGTGCTGGGGGTAACATCCAAAGTAGGAGCAAGTTAGGACTTCTAGTAGCCCCCCTCCACAGAGCCCCCAAATTTATTCAGGATTCAATTTTGTATGGGGCTAACTTTTTTTATTTTTTAATATTTTTACTAAATACATGATTACATTAAGAAGCTGAATTGAATGCGTTGTACTTTATAAAGGCTATCGTGATTGTTAAGGTACTTCGGATAATTCATAGAAATAACGACGGAACAATGAAAAAAATAATTTTTTTTTTTTGGGGGGGGGAGAAGAAAGAAGAGGGAAAAGACTTCGGACAGGAAGCCTCCCTTTGAATCTGCTAGTGCCCCTTACAATCAATGAAATAAATAGAATGGATTTCAGTCCCTATTTTTGTCATATCTGAAGTTAATATTCACACCATGTGGGGAATCTCAAGAACTGGTTCATTTAAACAGATAGGCCAAAATAAAATCAATAGAAAAAAAGAAATAATGTAAAGAAAATATAAGGTGAGCATTCTATATGGAAAACAAACGAAACTATATACAAAACAATTAACACTATGACAAGACACATACTATTTCCACAGATAGACCACAATACTCTTTTAAGAAAACAATAAAAAATAAAAAAATATTAAATTTTTCATTAAAATAAGATTTGTGCTTCTGTTGAGAAATCAGAAAGCTAAACATGACAATATAAAGTGCCTGATTAATATATAAATACATTATCATTTAAATTTTTATTAATGTATAAATAGATCATCATCATTTCTAAACATAACAATAGGCAAGAATTTAGTGGTGTATAAAAGATGATAGTTATAAATTAACAATAGATGCGTACAGTGACATCAAATCTTGTTATTTTAATATTATTATAATTTGAAAATGATGGAATCATAAGTTTTTGGTAATAGAGTATGTAAAAGTATATATAGAAATGGAAGATAGTAGGATTTAACAAAAAAATAGCTTCAATTTAAAAAAATTCCTCATTTTATTTATTTAACATTAATTTTTCCACTGCGTTGTAACAATCAAGAAAATGCGTTGCCCAACAGGTAACAAGGAGGAAGGTAGAGATAGAACGAGAGGATTTGGATGATTGAGAGTAGAAGAATGAAATGTATACGTTGGATTTTACTTTTGTAATGAGCATGTATGTGTGTATGCTGTGATTTGAAATAAACCAACGAGCATTGACTATTTTAAGAAGTATTTTGAATTTTCTTTATGTGTGTGTTCTGCGGAACCCGAAAGTTGATATGAAATGAAAAAATAATTTTATTCTGGGACTACTGTCCCCTAAGAATAATAACTGAGTTACAAATTTATGGGTCTTAGTCTAACATAATAATAAAAATACAAACTAATTTACTGTTAATTGTTACTTCAATTGTACAATATATTAAAATTAAACAGTGAACAGATGCAAGTAATTTTACATGTTAAAGGAAGTTTGAATGTGGAGTAGGTGGTGGAACAGGAGTTGTTTGAAGAAATTTGTGGATGAGGATTGATGCATGGAGGTAGGAAGTGAATTCTATAAGGAATCAGCACGAATGACGAAGGATTTGGAGAAGGAGGAAGTTTTATAGGAGGGGATATATAAGTTTATAGGTTGAGAAATAGTATTGAGAGAATGGATAGAGGAGCGTGGAGTAAATAGTTCCAGGATGTAGGGAGAGTTTTTGGTTCAGAAGACTTAGAAAAGGAAAACACCAAAGAGGAATTGTCGTCGGGAAGTAGGATAAAGCCACTTTAGCTCGGTGTACCAGAGTGAAACATGCGAAGTTCTGCTCCGTATGTCCATATAGGTCTTATTATGGTGGTGTAGATTAGTCGCTTGTTTTGTAAGTTGAGAGATCTATAGTCCAAAAGATGTTACAGTTGTTTGTATAGTCTGGTCTGTTAGTGTTTTTTAATTTAGTGTGTATGTTGCAGATGAGTTTTTTTTTCAAGTATAGTCGGAAATATCATATATGAGTTTTTAAGGGAACTGGCTTGTCTATTTTCACACATTAAAATTTCTTATAGTTTTTTTTATCAGAGACTATTTTCTTACTTGATCTCTTCCTTCTTCTGTACTATGGGGTAAAACTCATATGTGATTAAAAGATTTATTAATGCACCATTGAAGAAAATAATACGTAAGAATGTCTCAAAATTAGTTCATGTTATATTATCCAAAATTAAATATAACTAAAACCCTTAAATAAAAATAATCAATGAACTACCTCTTCAACAACAGAGATGTTTATGGTGTTATAACCACGAGCACTTCCAAACAAATTACATCTCTTGGATAAAAATTCCACATCCCGAAAGTGCCGGAAACCATCAGACAAGCCCTCTTCAGCAGCTGAGTTTACGCAACATTGAGCCCTAGTGCTCTTGTATTCCTTCCACACACTTGCCGTACCTCATAAATATAGAGTGTGCAAGTGTACTCCATTGTACTGCATCCCTCGACCTGGGGGAGTCGTTGCTGTCCGTCTATCGATTGAATAGTCGATATCATAGAATCGAGCAAGTGTAAAAAAGTACAGCCACCAACTTCGATAGCATAATTAGAAACACAACACTATACAGTATAAAATGCTCATGATTCTCTGGTCTTTGGATGAATGAGTGTAGAAATAAGTAAGCCATCGTTATATTTTGGATGTCATCTATCAATTTCTATGTAAAAAGCACATTTATTTCTATTATGCGAAAAATCGAGGTATAAATTCATCTTAACTTCATATCGTTGTTACATTACGACAACCAACTATCGACCAACACATACGTGAACTCTACTCCAGATTTCATCTTAAACTACACGGACATCACAACGGACTTATTAACGACATGGCCACAGCTGACATTCCTATCAGGAGACGACTAAAGAGGAGATGAGAGATCTCCTTTCTTGAATTAAGAAAATTAATCAACACCATGAAGAAGTGTTGCTGGATACTATTTTTTTTTCCTCACGCCTAAAATGTCAATTTTTCTTATTAGTTACAGCATATCTGCTTATTGTCAAGCTCATGGCAGGTGTGGATCGAAATATGAAGAAAAACAAAAATAATAATAATGTATATATATATATATATATATATATATATATATATATATATATATATATGTACATTCTGTGTTGATTAAATTCTAATTTCTTAGTATACATTCCTTGCATGCCACAAGATAGATATAGATAGTAAATTGAAAATATTATACTTTCAGAAAACATATCCGATAAAAAATTAAACTTTAATCTAGCATATTGGAACAGAGAGGTCTGTGGTAAGCCTTTAAATACATAAGTAATATATTCTTAAGTAGATCGGTTCCCTTCTGAAACCCATAGAAATGTTAATATAAATATTAAATATAAATAAATGCAGTTTCTGGAATCCACTGATGGCATTAGAGAAACGTAAAGCCAGAAACGTAGCAATATAATATTTTCCTTTATGTATAGGGACAACCATGCTAAACTTCGACAATGTCTTATGTTATAGTTTAAACTTTGATCCTAAGATTTTGCCTCATCATATGTCACGTATGCATACATGTTAAATGCAAAGGGTGTACGTAAAAGAATTTCGCCATAACTGGGGTAATGAACAATTCATAAAGCGGTAGAAGTTGTTGGCCGAAGGGAGACTGCATGATTTATCCGCTAGGGTAATTAAAACAAACGGAGCTCTATTATCCATTGAGCTCGACCGGGACAACTTTATCAACAGCCTGCATTATGTAACGGCTAATATCACCTCTCTATAGTTAACTTATTCATGGCTACCTCCTCGCTCTGGGTTTTCACTAATTATCTACTCCGAGTCTAGGTGAGTCGATATAACAAACAAATCTAGACAGATTATTGGTTTATAATTTTCAATAATGAACCATTGCGTCAGAACAAAAAATTCAAAAACTTAACCCCCCTCTCAAAATTTGAGGTTTTACGCTTCAGGATACGTAGAATTGGAAAAATGAATACATTTTTTTTTTGTCCATACGTAGTTTTGCCCAAAATCGGTCTTGGTGTTGCACTTTGCAAGAACAAGACCAAGGCTGCCTAACTGTTGCAAGACCAAGACCAGGACTGGTAAAAAAGAATCGATTTTTAAAATAAAAATTAAGGCGAAATAGTTACTAATGCTTGGCAATCTTAGTTACTATATGTAATAATTGGTATAACCAATATACTTTTGCATTTAACTCCTCTAATTTTTCATTCGGGCTTACTCAGGTTTCTCCTATCTAAAAAATTACAGTAATATATCTATAGTAATAAGCTAATAAGTAACTGCAAGACTGTTGCGAAACTCTTGCGCAAGACCAAGACTGAGTTTGCAACACCAAGACTCGTCTCGGTCTCGCATTTGGGCCGCACTATCCGTACGCCGTACGCCATTCGTGCATTTTTCCCGAAATTACCAGACCGATTTTTTTTCAAATTTGATTTTAACTTACATTCCATATGTCATATATTAATAGTTATACTATTCCTAGCTCACTTTTTGCGTTCGCTACAAATATTTAACTATTAAATATATAATTTAATATATGTATCTATGACTTATGTATATTCTAACCCCTGGTTATGGCATTAATACCTAACTCCAACTGATCAAATATTTACATATAGTGTATCCCCCCAGACAGACGGTCCCTCCGGTCCCCCGGTCCTTATATACTAAGAATTTCTGTAATTTATTTCAGGTATTATTCGATAAATACCTTTTTTCCTTTCATAAGAAATATTTTCTTAAATTACATTTATCAAACAGAGAACAACTATTATTATACCCTTACATATAATATAAACTATTAACAGTATTATATATAAATATTTGTTAACATATACAGATTAAAATAATATTGTTCTCCAAGATAAAAATATATATTCCATAAAATATAACTATATATATTCCCCGTTTATTAAATATGTTAATTTTATTTTAAAACTTATAAATTTAAATCATAAATAATAGATTTGAATAAC